GGATTCTCATAAGCTATTTGTTTTTATTTTACTTACCTCTCCAATTTTTATAGAAGTTTGTTTTTGGTATTTCAACCTGCTGGTCTGAATCTTTGATTTGGTTCCTCTTCAAAACTCACAAACTGTGGAAAGTAAACTCTCTTCAAAGCGGTTGCTGTATTTGTTGCTTTTGTTGTCAAGTTTTCCATCACTGTCTGCAGCATACCAGTGTGTCAGATTTAAACCAGTTTTTTACACACAAACATTTTCTTTTGATATGGACGTGTTCACCTATGGAGATGATAACTAAAAATAAAATGATGTTGACTGCCGGAGGAAAATTGCATTGCACGTGCGAGAACCTTTGGTTTCAAAAGACAGCATGTAAAGTGTGCGAGCAGTTGAAAGAAGTTGGCTTAGTCATAGTTATAGTGGGACCTGAACTGCCGTATAAGTTAAATAGGTGCAGCCTAGACTGAAAACAGAAACAGTCAGACTCAGTTTTCGGGACATATAGACAAATCACAGTGTTAAAGAGACTACCTACTTGAGAAGTTAGAGAGTGTGCATTTGGCTCTAAATTGCTCCTCCTCTGAAGTTATGGCTCAGTGTAAGTCTGTTATGAGTTAAGGCCTAACAGTTAGACCCAACGTTTTTTGTAGCTATGTTCTCCAAGTCATTTTAAAGCATTTTCCCACTGATTTAACAAAACAGATTAGGGCAGATGGTTGGTTACAACAAAATGAGAAGCATGGGATGAAATGAATTATTGGAGGACAGGCCTTTGACCTTACATCTGCTTGTATGGACACATCAGGAAGGGTCCATGTATTCATGAGAGCTCTGTTTCTGGTGATCTCAGGGCTTGGAATTTATTTGATTTGTAGAACCAAAATAAAAAAAGGACTGGACAGACTCTTGTGCCTCAGCTGGGATTTAGTCGACCCTGATGGATTCGAAAAAATTTGTTGGAAATCAAAATAGAAATCGTAATAGACCCTGTCAGGTTTGGATCATGGGATGGGCTTTACAGGGGGAAGCCTTCAGAGAGGAAACTAATCACTTTCAGATGAACAGAGCCTGTTCCCAGTAAAGAGGAGTGTAGGTTTCTGTGTGGAAGTGAGCAAATTTATCCATCTGTGAAGTTTTCACCAAAACAGCAAGACGAATTTCTAATTTGACAAATATGTTTTTAATAGAGATCAGATTCAGACATTTCATGAATCAGCATTAAAGTGCATCTAATGACACTAAAAGCTAGAGCACAGGTTGGTAAAGTGTTTTCTTTGCCATACAAGAGTTGAGTGTCAGTTTCTAACTGACATTTAGTCCCTTGTCCCATTTTTTCTAACCGTGATCATAAACTCAGAAATATGTGGCATTGCACCAGAATTTTGATTAGTCAGACATACCACACAGATCTTATCACATGGCATCTATTAAACTTAAACTGCTAATCTTCCCGTCATATCATGCTAATATCATGCAGATGACTTCACTCACTCATTGCAGACACATCCCTAGGCTACACATTTACTTATCTGTACTCATGGCAAATCCCCACACTTACAGTATGCACATGTTCACAATCAATGCAGCTGGCCTCGTGCATAGTTTGCTGCTCCATTAAAACCCTCAAATAAGTCTTAATCCTGTTCTGCTGGGGCCAAGGAGTAAACGGAAATCCTTTGCCTCTTCGGCACCACGGCATTGTCTAACAGAGAGCTTTTCAGCACCAAAAAAGGCATCGGCTTCATAAAAATGATTCAGATCAAACAAGGCTGTGGTGATACACACACGTCTCTGTAAAATGCGTTTCAGGATCAGTACAGCCAGGCTGTATTTTTAGGAAGTTTAGTTTTTTTTTTTTTTAACTGCACTCATTATTCTTGGCATGTCCTCACTTTGAAACAGGTTTCCAGCTTTCATTTGCATCTCTTCCCTTTGTCAGTAACACTTTCACTATCCAGAAACTGGTTTTTCCAGACTAGGGGGAAGAGTTCCAGTCTCTAAAGGGTGGAACTTCTTTTAATGGGGTAAACTCACAGCAGGTAGATGGATACTTAGAAATTATCTTTGTCCCTTTTTCCCCTGCAAGTGTATGTTCTGGTGTGGGTTATTAAATTCATGAAAAATCCCCACAGTGTCCAGCATGAATCTGATAACAGACCTTCACAGCTACAATGGCAACATAAAAAGCTGAAGCCAATAGGTCAGCCATTGACCCCGCGGTGTCAGTCTGGTATGCGTTCTTCAGTTCAGTTCTTTTCCTCCTGAGACTGAGTAGCTGGAGCTGTTTAAAGACCACTTGTTGTTAGTGGGGTCGTTTTAGCCATGCGCTTAATCACATAAGTCTTGTTTTTATTTCTGAAAAAAAGGTAGTCATGCTGCCTAAAAGTTTCAAGGACATGAACTTAAAAAATTCCAAGTAGAATATGATTCCCACTATGTTCAGTACATGCTATTTAAAAAAACACTGGAGTGCTGCCAAGTGGCAGAAAGTGTGTGATGTTAAACTGGGGTGAACAGTCAAAGCAGCCATTGTTTTTCATGAATAATTATCTTTTTTATGTGCACCTGTGAACATGTGGGATTGAGTGACAACTTAATTAGAGAACAATTCGATCTGGCCTGATATTAAATGTGATAACAAAGAGGGCGTACGTGTGGTTACAGAAAGATCATATGTTGTTGTTTATTATCCCTAAGTGCAGAAATACACAGACAGCTTGAAGGGATCAACTTTTAGTCTCCAACTTCATTGAATTTAAAGCCATAATAAGAAGAATATTCCTCCTAAAATCTTAACTTATGCTGATATGGTGACCAGTTGTAATAGTCTGATGTCGTACGCCCCATCAGAAATGTGTCTTAGTGATTCTTTTCAAACTTTTACTGTATTTAACTACATTTTAAAAGTATTTTGGATGAGGGCGTTTAGAGCCAAATTAAACACGGTACAAGATATGTCCTTCTGTTCTTTAAATGGTCTGTTGTCCATTTCATGGATTGGAGAAAGAAAAAAAAAAATTCCAGTGTCAGCCGACCCTTGCTAGCCAGTTAAACTGAGCACTTGACAATTTTTCACTGATAGATAGATTTTGATGGTATCAATACCTTTGATGCATTTCTTTCCTCTCTTGTATGGTGGTCCTGCATCGTATCCATTGCCGCCTCAAACAAAGTGTGTAACAACCTGGTAGCCTCTGTCTTTTGCACTCCCTCTTTAAAAGTCTGAAAGATATCACACTTTGGCATGTACTGTTGATTTAAATGAAAAAGAAGTTCAGACACCAACAGAAAAAAAGGGGTCAAAAATATAAATTTGGTTAATGATTAAACCCTGAGACTCTTTGGGGACTAAACCCTGGAAGTGGTCATACATATTTATCTTCTTAAATATTTGTTTGTTTTCACAATAGGCCGGAACTTCTTCGGGATGTTAGCATTCCCCTCACGGCCTGTTTGCACTGCTTCAACACTCCCAAAACCAGAAAACTACACAAGCTGTTATGGCGAGAATAGACGTGATCCCTTGTATCCTAAAGTCTAACATTTACTGGAAGATGATAAGGCTTCTAATAATAAGAACTGGTGGTGGCTGCTTGTGTACGCTCTTGACAGAGGAAGTAATTAAGTTCAAGCAGTTTATCAGTAGCTGGCCGGAGACGTGGTGTCTTCTGGTGATAAAGAGGAGCTGGTGAGGTATGCCCTTTCTCTCAAGTGTCCACCCGATGCCATTTATCACCAGATCTTCCCCTGACGCACTCTTATTCTCCATCTACTTGACTTCACATATAGGGGAAGCCCAAAGCAGGTCCAGTCTGAAAGCCATCATGTCACTCATCCCTAAGCCTTCCCCTCTCAACTCTCCTTAGATGTCCAATCGGGCTAATTTTAGCTTGTTTTAAATTTGGCCTAAGCGTGCCACGATGCAGATCTGTTCGTACCGGCTGTGTGTATGGAAAGCACGTTCTCTTTCTGTTTTCCTTTTGGCACTGATGCGCCCATGTGGCTTCTATTTTACAGTAGGGGGGATTAGCATCGGAAGGGCTATTTGCGAGAGGGCTGCACAGCACGAAGAAGCATCTGAGGCCCTTTTCAGAATGCCTTTCGTTTTCAACGGTCCGAAAAAAGCTGACTTTATCATACAGACACATAGCTGAGAATCTTAACATTGCACAGAGGTACATGAAGTCACTGCTTCTGAGACAGTTTATGTAAACACCTAGGAATAGTGGCAGCTGTCTGAAGCTCACAGTACTGTGTATATAGAAACAGTATATACAGTTTAGTGACTGTAAATGTGTGAATGCAACTTGACTCATTTAAGACAGGCTTTAAGAATTGCAATCGAATCTTGTGGATTAGATTAGAATAATATAGTATATAATAAGAATAGCACAGCTGACCAAAAAGAAAATAAGACCCTGAGGTAAAGACAAAGAAGGAGGCTCAAACCTTTTTTAGTCTTTTTATTTTTTCTGTGTTACATAAAGCTGTTATGTCTTTTTTTATTGTGTTGTAGACACTGGCCTGCAGCTACAGTCGGCCCCCTCTTAAAAACCTGATATGTTCCTAAGCATGTAAACATTGACGCATTTGTTCGTCTTGTTGGGTTACGGGCCTAAGCACACTGAGTGCCTCATATTGGATGTTATAAAGCAGAGAGGCCGGAAACCAGCTCTTGTTTACAGTGGCAGGTATGATGAATGAGCAGCGTGCAGAGAGAGAATACGAAATAAAGCACATTTATACATGGGGTTATACAGAAAACTAAGCTGTAACATAAATTACATTCGGGCCTCTGGACTCTAACTTTTCCCACTTACCAAAAAAGTAATTCATAATTTATGAGCCTGTATTGGCCAAAGTGCAAAAAAAGCTATGATGCTGTCAAAAGGAAATTCTGGAACAAATAAAGGCGGCGTGTGAGGTTTCAGGCTAAAATATCCGCTTCAAAACGGCACAAGCATGCGATTATGTAACGTTGCTCTGTGTGCCTGCATGTTTTTTCCACAGACAGTGAGATGGTCCCCCTGGACTGCCTGCGTCCTCATTCCTTTGCCTCTGCTCAGCGGAACAGCCATGACCCACGCCTCTCCATCAGCCTCTGCGACCTGAGCCTGCAGCAGCAAGACATGCATCTGGAGGAAGACGACGAGGAAGAAGAACAACTGCAGCCCCTGAGCTCCACCTCCTGCCACGTGCCCCAGAACTCCCAGAACTCGCAGCAGTGCTCGCTGCTGCCCGGTCACTTGGACACTGATCTCCATTTTCACACAGTACACGGCGTCCACATTACTGCGCTGGATAAGCAAACCGTCGCGCGGCTGGATCACCGTGGCGACGAGAGGACCCTTGTGTTCACCAGCCGGCCAATGCACTGTTCAGAAACCGTGTTCGTTAAGGTGAAAGCGGGAGCCGCTCGCCCCGCGTCCCTTTCTTTCGGCGTGACGTCATGTGACCCGGCCATCCTGAGGCCCAGCGATCTCCCGTCCAACCCGGAGTCTCTGGTCGACCGCAAGGAATTCTGGGCCGTGTGTCGGGTGGCAGCGCCACTCCACAGCGGAGATATTTTGGGTTTCATGGTGAATGCGGACGGAGAAGTCACGATGAGCCACAATGGAAGCGGTGCAGGCATGCAGCTGTGTGTTGACGTCTCCAGGCCTCTCTGGATGTTCTACAGTCTGCACAGTACCATCACACAACTCAGGATTTTAGGTATATTCTCCTTATTTGAAAAAAAATCTTTATTCATCTATAAAGTCAGTTGCCCTTGAACATATTTATATGAAAATATCTTATCTACTTATCTTATCTACTTTTAGAAATTTGAAAACGAATATCAGAAAAAAACATAAGTTTTTAGACTTTTCAGACTCCCCTCTTGTGCTTTATTTATCCTATGCTGAAATTATGTTGAGCATTTTCTCACTCTAAAGAACTAAAGATCATAAAGAAGGAATAGTGAAGTGGTATTTAACTATATTCCATCAAGATTCTTTCAGCACGGAGGGAATATTTATGACAAATTTTAGCTCTGATCAGTAGTCAGAATTTGTATTCAATGATAAAACTGACAATTTTATTGTGCTCTGTAAATCTTGAAAAGGATGGGACATTAAATATCCCTGTTATAAGGTAATTCAGTTTTGGTCCTGAAATGACCTTCAAGTGGGATCTTATTGTTGCTCTTTCTTTTCTGTCCCTGAAAGCTGACTCTTTGTCTGTTCATATATCATTTTTCGTTTTGCATTATGCCCCCACAATTTGCATATGAAGGTTGCATTTTTCCCTTCAGTTAAACGGAATTTCTGGCCGTTTGTTTTTGTTCCCGTCTATTTCACACTGTGATGTCACTGATTTGCCTGCAGCCCAGAGGAAAAAGGAAGTTCATCTTTTTCCAGTTCTAAGGCTTTACTAACAGACACCCATAATAAATCGATTTTCAGTCGGTGGGACCATGATTACAAATGCAGAGGGGCTGGTCCATTTAAGATTTACTTTCCAACATGGTAACACATTTAGTAATGATTTTGATAAGTAACCATTGCTTTGTATTAATCTTGGTAAAGTTATCAGGGATTTTCCTGCAAATGATTTAGAACTCCTCTATTAAACAAAATATTCCAAAAACCTGTTGGAAACTGGGTCAGGCAACAGTACAATGATACCAAACACAGCAGCAAATCTACAACAGACAGTCCGGAAAAGAAAATAATCAAGGTGTTGCAACAACCCAGTCACCATCCAGACCTCAGGCTTATTGAAATAGAAAATTGGGAGCACTGCACAAATGTGGTTACCAACATATCTCCTCGAACTAAAGCAACAGTTAGAGAAAAAAAGTATTTCATGTAAAAGATTGTTCTTTTAGTAATTCAGTTATACAGTGTGTTTAGTTTCCAAGATGCAACTTCTAATTCTTTTTTTAAAATAATCATAATGCAGTATGTTACACCATATCTCTCTTGTTCCCCAATTTCTATTTTATCCCAATACATAAGACCCTAGACTTTTAAAAAAGATGCACAGCACTTTTTATCACATGTCAGAATACAAAATGTCTAGAGATGAATTTCTTCCCATTTGACTTTGAATATGACAGTGACACTGTATGTAACATAATCTAAAACGTTAAAACACAAATAGGCTGAAGATGTTTCAGCTTCTCTTTTTTTCTAATGAGGACAGGAGAAACAAGTTCTGGTTTGACTCAAAGAGGATTTGTTTGTCTTCAAGGCCTGTCCAAAATCTTCAGATCATTTTATTGTTTAACTGTTCAGGACATTTTCTTTGTGTATGTTGTGCACTTTGGAGAGTATCAAGTGGCAGTTCAGATGGGAAAAAATGAGTCTGAAGTAACTGAAAGTCCATTTTCTGAGACATTTGATGCTCAACATATGCCCTTTTTGAGTGGGTCCAATTTAAGTTTAAAATATTTAGTGTGCCTTGCTCAGTGTTAAGAGAAAAGCACTTAGAGGATTTTCTAATTTTTCTATTTTTCATAAGGTAGAGCTGTTAAAAAGCTTGGGCTGGAGTATTTTGACGAGTACAAGTGCAAATCTTGGTGCCTTCAGATTGTTTCAATCATTCATCCTAATTACATGAAACCCATGGTTGTTTGCGTGCGAGGCTATTAATGAATATTTCCTCACGGGACAAAAATCTTCTCACAGGATTTTCATTATTTTAGATAAATGTTAAAATACATTTAGATTTTGTCACTTCTCCTACTTTCCTTTGGTAAATTATGTCTGGATGCTCTGATTTCCTCTCCTCTTTTTCATATAGTCAGTCTGGACAGAAAGTGAGGAAGTTATTTCTATGATGCGTGGGCTCCCAGAAGCCAGCGTTATGTATCAGAGGGGAGCTTGCTGTAGCTCCTGACGATGTCCTCCTGATGCATTATTAAAATGTAATTGCATAGAGATTTCAGCCGTGGTTTGCGTGAGGTATTCCACCCACAGAAAGTTCCCACTCTGCTTGTTCTCTGATCATCTCTGTGCTACCGCTTTTACTTTCCGATTTTTTTTTCTTCATTTCACGACATTTTGATTCTTTGGGGTATGAGCGTTCCTCGAGTCATTACCCACTCCAGCTGTGGGGAGTGCTTTGGTGACGTCTCCACTCACCCACTCGCTGCAGCTGAATGCCATAAGTTGCCATGGAGACATCTAGCCACTGAGCCAAGTGACAGTTTGTCGTGGCTGGGTGTTGTCAAGCCTGTGAAGCGGAACAGATGGGAGTCTGTTGCTGTCAAATGGTCATTCCATCCATCTTTTAAGGAACTAAGATTCGATCGTTTCATTTCAAATATCTGGAACTGTAGTTGTACACTTTTTAATTAACGTTGTCCTGAAAGTGATTCCATTCTTAAAATGGTTCAGAAATGTATTTTCAAATCAATACTAAACATCTGAAAGGAACACTTTTTATTTCTCAGCCAGATAATATCATAATGTATGTCTACTTTAACCGTTTTCACTCCCCCTTTAAAGAAAATGACACTTTCTAGCCTTGGAAATTGGCTGGCTGATCTCGCTCACAGACGGCATAAAAAAATCCCCCCCAGAAATGTGGTGCAGCTTGTTTTTAACCTGAAAGTCAAAACACTGCGATTATGCAGACTCAATGCATCACTGGCTGCATTCCTTGAGCTCATCTCTTTTGGTTTACACTGATGAAGGATGCCGGCTGGGGATACTGTATATTTATCATTACATTTTTGTAAAATCAGATCTTGTTTCATTTGAGCTTTCCTGGAAATGTCCTCAAATTACAGGATTTCAGAAATAGCAAAGCAAAAAAGACAATAAGGAGGAAAGAAACTGAATTAGGCATAGAGATTACAAGCACGGCTTCAGAATGCTGATGCAACAGGCCTCCCAGAATAGTGCTCTCTGATGAGCAACCACTATATTTGACACATGTTTTAAAAGGCCCTCATTGTCCACTAACAGACAAGATAAGTTGTTCCACATGGTTCCGACACTGCTATCTTCCAGCTCCAGACAAATACAGCGTTTAGAAACGGGACTACATAACTTGGTTCCAGACTTCTGGTATCACACTGTTCCCCATGTAAATAACACCCTTGCTTCATCCATCAACAACACACAAACACACAAACAAAGTCAGCAGTCAGTAGCTAATGACAAAAGAGTTCCCCAGGTAGCTGCATGAAAGCAAGATATTTCCCCCAGGAGTTGAAAATAGATTAAACAAAAGAGGTGAATGTCAGATCTGCATTTTGTATGGAAATGTTGATCCATAACTTCTGGACTGACAAAGAACTGTTTGCTGAATAAACTTAGAGGGTAATATATTTCTATTCGATATACAAAAGTTCCAAGCCACTATACACAAGTCAAGCACAAATAAGTCTCCTGCACCTCCAGCACAGCTAAAGACACTCGTGGTCACACAGCCAACAACAGCCAACACTAAATTCATAAAAGAGAAGATGAAAGGTACCCTTGATGAAAGGGCACATGAACAGACATGAAGGTGGTTCATTCCGTCTTATTAGATGCCCCCCCACCCACCCCGGACTAGAGCAGGTAATGGAAAGCTGTTTTTAATGCTCTTGCAAGAACGTCTGCCCCACGGTCCACTCCAGAATATGATCTAGTAAATACATAATGCTGTAAAGGTGTGCTTCTGCAAGGTAATATGATCTTCATTCCCTGGACCAATCTTAAATATAAACAACTTACCGAAAGCTTTACCGCCTTTGCTCATGGACACGTTACATGCTGATTGCTTTTTAGGAGCAAACTGCTGCATGGCTAGAAAGCTTATATAATTTGTCCACGCTAGCTGCAACTGAGATGGCAGCCGCGGTAGTGTACCACAGAAAAGACATGAGAAATTCAGAGCAATGGATAAGAGCACGGAGTGTTACGCAACAAACCATATACATTCTTGTGCAAACGACAAGCCACACTCTCTTTTCAAACGTACAGTGTTTTTCAGCTATTGCCCCCCATCTGCGGTTCTTCTTTCAGCTGTCTGTTAATTCCACGCTGTCATCGCAGGTCATGTTGGATAAGCAAATTGTGGCCAAGGATATAAAACACAAATCAGATCATTTGACGTGTGGACGTGGTGCCAACTAAACAACCAGTCAAGCTATGCGGCTGTTTTCTCAGTCGTAGCCAGTTAAAGAATGATGTGTAACAGTAAATACCACTGAGTACATCAGAATTTTTCGGAGGAATGGGGTTTTTTATTTGCATGTGTGTCGGGAGACGAGCTGCCAGCAGATCGACTGCTGCCAGTGCCGGTGGTTATGGGCTCCAGACAGGGATGGATCATACGGGACGGGCTGTGGAAGTGGTTTCTACCTTACCCAGTGGGATCATGGGTTCATGCAGGAGGAAGAAGGGAGGGGGCCTCATAGGCTCGTGACTCACTCTGTTACACCCACATGCACAAACATACACTGTGGATTCACAATTCATCTGCTTTGTGATAGATTTAATGTGTAAGAGAGAAGGGAGGACAGCGTGAGATGGTTTCTGTTACATGACATCCACATTGTGTGCAATCAGCTCTCAGTGATAGCTAAAATATTCAGGTCTTCAGATGTGTTTCTTTATTCTAGAAATAGACTATATGGATATTGGAGGTAATTGACATGTCTACTCTGTATCTACAGGCACATCCATGCATCCTGACCTCCGAGGCCTGTCTGTGCCCAGCTCCCCATCATGTACACCAAACACCCCCACAATGCTCTGCAGTGGAAACTCCGAGTCCAACCTCAACACCTCATTGAATATCAATCTCAGCTCAAGCCCCCACTCCAACTACCACACTCTATTTTCTTCCTCTGCAGGTTTGTTCAGACTTTGAAAAAAAAATCTATCTCTATCTCTCTATCTAGCTTTTACCTTTACAGTGGCTTGTGCAAATGTCTTTCAATCTGAAGAAAAGATAAAGCTGAAAGTGATCCCTATTTTCCTACATTTGCTCTAGATCAGGGTCCTACTTGTAGACTTTTATTTATTTTGCATTCACAGTGAAGCACTAGGCTACATAATGGAGTTGACTTCACGATGATTGGACCTTTACTTGTATAGCTCGTTTCCAGTCGAACTGACCACTCAAAGCGCTGTACACTACGTGTCATTCACCCACTCACACACCAGTAGATGCACTGGTGCCTTGCCTAAGGAGTGGAATGTAACCAATGACCTTATCAGTAGGCAACTGGTCAGGTTCATGGATAATTTTTACCAAGGACTCATAGGTTAGATAACATTTTGATTGTACCTTATTCAAAGTCAGTGTGACTGCGGGTGGAACAGGCTCAGTGTGTCATGAACACCCTCTGCTGTTTAGCTTCTGAAAATTAAAATCATTAATGCTCACGTAAAAAAGGGAATGCAATTATCAGATAGCAAAGTGTTGTCTCGTGACTATTTCCAAAGTTTGAAATGTAATAAAAAAAGGGTAGAACATGGACAATCAAAGTTAGATTATGGCCCGGAGGAATTATTTAATTAAGCTAAAATGGTTATAGGCAAAGTGAAGGGGTGATATTACTGTAAAAGGCAGCAGATTCCAGGATGATGATGCTCTTTTCTACTCTTCAGTTGTTCTACGGTTTACTGTCTGCACTGATATAACATTTTGAAGGGAGATGTATTAGAAAAATGTCCTTATCCTGTCAATGTAGGTACAATGAAGCCAAACATCAAGCAGTCAAAAATGTTAAAGATAAAAATTTAAATGGGATCTCTTTAAGAAGATGATGACTATAAATGCACCTAAAAATATACAAGTAACAATCTTAAAAGCTGGAGATCTATGCACCACCATCTATTTTAAAGTTATTCATGGCTTTGCCTCTTCTTACTTTATTCTTTATAGAGTTTAGGAATTTATCTGATATTTTTCTCTGCTTTGATGACAAGAAATGACAATTATATATATTTTATTTGTTGCATTGAGCAGAATTTGAATGTACCATAGCTGTTTACATTAACATTATATTGTCTGTCATCACTTCAGGAACAACCCCCAGCTCTCCATATTCCAGCCATCCAGAGTCCCCTACCTTTGCACCCTGCTCTGGATCATGGAGTGATGAATGCACCATTTGTTACGAGAACGTGGTAGACACTGTCCTCTACGCCTGTGGGCACATGTGTCTCTGCTACGCGTGCGGCCTGAAGCTCAAAAAGATGGCCAACGCGTGCTGCCCCATCTGCAGGAGGACAATCAAAGATATCATCAAGACCTACCGGAGCACGTAGGCCCTGTGTCAGTCAATGTCAGGTTCAACATTCTGAAAGCCATGTAAACTTTGTACAGACACAGCAAGTGACTAACCTGCTCCTTGGTCTGTTTTCAATCTGGCTCAGGTAGTGTCGAGCAGGATGCGCAAACTCTATCATTAAAAGGTTAAAAAAAAATACAGCATAATCACCAGGGCAAAAGCATGCCACTGCTGTTTGTCTGGACAGGGATCTGTCTAACCTCCTGTAGACCAACCCCAGTCTGCCAGTGATAGCATCCTCAAGGAAAGTACAATTGTCCGGAGCTGGGGAAAATAACAAAAAGAATCAGCCCGTGGTTCCACCAGCTGCTCCTACACTGCTTGTCAGAGAGCATCAAGTTAAATAGTTGTTTCGCAGGAAAAATCAATTCCCTTCTGAATCTAAAAGAAAAATCAAGACAAGATAGGTTTGTTTGAGATTTCCAGAAGGCATCCAGATAACAGTGATAAGTGATGAAAACCATGAAAGTGGTGTTTTGGTGAAAACACCTCTCCAGTAGTGACGCCCAGGAAATCTTAAACCACAAAGGTAAAAAAGTCATCTGGCGGAACCCCGATGTGTAGATGGTGCTGTATTCTGGTGAATATCTCAACAGCATCTTTAATGTTTTTTTTTTATATTAAGGGTGGATGGAACTGTGCAAAGGGTAAAAATAAGGAGTGAACATTGTCATTACAGAAGGTCACACTTGTTTTACCGAAGGCGGATGTGAAAAACTGAAGATGGAGCTTGGGAGGGAGGATGATGTATGTTTCAGACAGAGAAAAGGGAGGAGGGAGCGTCTTTGTTAGGTGCCTGTTTCGGTGTGAAGAACGTGTTTGCTCACTCAGATGTCTAAAAGCATGTTATGCTACTTGGCGGCCGTGCCCACCATCTCTGGCTACTCAGGAAGCCTTTAGGATGCTGTAATTGCACAAAAAGTAATCCAAACAGACAATGGTAAGCAGTGAAGTATTTTTCAGATGCTGAAAAAAGCTAATTAGGATGATGATACGACATCTTCATTACTACAAAAATCTCCTGAACCAAAATAGATGTGCTTACTTTAGCTTGGAAACGTATCTTTTGTATTTTTGTTAAATTAAAACAGGAATATTAATTATGGTGTTTTTATGTGTAGGGAGTGTCAAGGTTAAGAAAAATCCCAAAAGTTGTTGACAGTGGCAAAGATATAACATCTTATTGTCAGATGAAATGAGGACTTACAAGATTTTGATTGTTCCTTTAAAAATGGGATCTGTTAGATAGAGATGTGGTGTCTCTGAGCACATTTAACTTTGCTTATATGAATACAGAGCCATCTTCCTTTGAGTGGAAGCAAACACATTGATGTGCTTGATATCTTTGTACATATAAAGCCACAGCTAAAATGAAATGTTGAAAAAAATTGCCTTTGCCCCAACTGTCACTGCATTGCTTAGTACTGGAATTTTTTCTGTGAATGTGGAGAGATGCTGAGCTTTTACATTTGTACTTGTTTTTTTTCCTCCTGACCAATATGACTTTGATATTATAATACATTGTGGCGTATGTTTGATAGAAAAATAGTTGGAGAGTAATCTTGACTGTACATTTTAATTTATTTGTTGACGCTGTTATGCACAGCTGTCCCTGTTTGTTTCTTTTGAGGGGCTAATGTGTCCGAAATTGGTGAATACTGTTTATTTTATGGTTGCATAATCAAAGATCATAGAAGACTTTATTCCTTGAGAGGATGTTTGTCACTTAAATATTTCCATATTTAGGGAACTGCTCATCCACTTTGTGTCGTGGAGTTAAATAGCAGAACGAAACTTTTTGTTTTACCTGAGCGTGTCAGAAACATACTTCTGCTCCACTACATGGAGCTATATTAAATTTCCATTGTTTCATGTTGGTGTCACACTTGTTGTTAGTCACTTAGCAGAATAATCTTTTTCACATTAACATTAATAATTCGTCACATTGCCAAAACATCGTTTGGACAAAATGCGGAAGCTGTTAAAAAGGAAAATTGACATTTACATGATTGACATGTAAATCAATGGTACCTTGTATGTGCTTAAAAAATGGAACAAAAGAATAGCTCAAACTCTGTAACCTCATTTTGGTTTTGATTGCAGTAACATTTCCAAAAACAGTTCTGAGAACACAAGAATACAAATTTTGCATATTTGTGCAAATGTTTTGTTGCCTAATTAGGATCTTTGCCAGCAAGCTTGGCATAAAATGAGGATAGAGAAGGGAATTTTTTTATGTGAAAAGCTCTGTAATTTAAACATTTTAATATTTAAGAAAATTTCTCCATTTATAGTGCTAAGAATATGGAATTGTTAATATTGAGAGTACATAATAGAGAAATATCACCCTCTAGTGACCCTGTATTACAAACTAGGTTGTTCAGTCGAAAGTATTGCAGGATTTTAGAAACTTTTTTTTTCAAAACACCAGAAGTTGAATCTATATTGTGTGTAAGTTAAAACTCTACCATCCAAAGATATGAACAAGATCAGCAAATAAAGCTGTGTTCTGTGGCCCACCTGTAGGTCAAATTTAGATTATTGAGTTTTCAAATAAAGGATTTTGTTTCCTCAGGAAAAAAGAGAGAGGGAATACTCTGACTTGACCTTTACACATAGTAATAATGATTTTTTTCTTTTTTTTAAAGAAACACTGAACCATCCAGCCAGCCAACCATGGAAACCATATAGCATTTGTTTTCAGGGTCCATGAAGTTCTGCAACCTCTGCAGTGGTATTTTGTATCGTGTTGATATGATATATACTAGGTTCATATGGAGCCCTCATTTCACAGCCATGCTAAGCAGGGGTTTTGGAGTAGAGTATTTCTGCAATCCAGACAACCCTGTCTGAGTAGGGTTTTTTTTCTAATTTTCCTCCATTTCACATTCGGCTTAAATTAACTACACGGGTAGATTTGTTTGCACTAAACCGATGGAAAATTATAACTAAAGATCTCTTTTAGGAGATGAATAAGTGTTGTTTCCAAAATAACAAATTGGCTGCCTCAACAAACACTCGGAGTTGTCTTGAAAAAAAGAGGTGGTGCAACACGGTAATAGATTCTCTTCCTGAGTTTCAACATGTTGCTGGCACTTCAACTTGAGTAGATCATTAACTTGTTGTCTTTGTGGAATTGAAAGGATTTGCAAACCACGGTATTCTGTTTGGTTTACATCTTCAGCATCCCATTTGTTTTGGAAATAGTATTGTGCAAAGCAGCAGAAAAAAAGGATTCATCCCCAGCAACTTCAAACATAACAGTTGTTTAATTTATTCAAAGCTTTCACCCTGCAGTCAGCTAAGATACAGTAATTCAAAAGCTGGAAACAACAGGCTCCCTCGGCTCCTTTCAAAGGATAATCCAAAAAATTGTGCCTATTACCTTCGATAAAACGGTCAATTGTCACATGTGGGAGATTACCAAAAGACTGAGCAGCACTTGAAGGCGGATAGTGGTGACTTTGTACAGGCTCAAGTCAGCTGCATCTTTCCTGTTTATGCACACAAATCAGATAACATTTTTGTGACATCACATTTAGTTGTTTTAACCACTTCTGAATAAAAGGGTTTCTCAAAATATCAAATATCAATTACATCAATCCTTACCTTAAAGTTACTTGTGCATTAGAGAACCATTAAGTTTAAAAGAGTTTGCTTTCCAAATGTGACCAAATTTCTCAGTTCAACCAAAAAATTAGTCGGTTATGGAGGGCATTGTCTGTTGGGCAATAAATAACTTTGGTTTACTGGGCTTTTCGTATCTACCAGTTGTCTAAACATTATTAATAGTATTTTAATTAAATGATAATGATGTTTGTTTAATAAAATTTGTGTTTTCAACACTGGTTTGATTTTATTATTCACTGCTGGGGTTTTTTTTGTTTGTTTTGATGGGAAATGACAGTGAACTTGTATAATTACTTCATGAGATGACAGGTTTAGTGCTAATTAAAGAGATCTCAGATTGGGTATCAGAAAAAAAACAGGAAGTTACCCTGCACCGTCACATGTCTCTGCAATGCATTTGACCAATATAAGACCATATACTATATGAATAACAAAGGCAAGAGCTTTTAGTAAACTGCCATAACTCACAGAGAAATTGTTTACAGTAGTGGTATGCAGTCCTGGCCAAAGTGAACATAATCTGTTATTTACTACCTTGCTGCTGTGTCCCCTGCAGCACTGTCTTGCGTTCCCCCTCCAAAACCACCAGTGCAACCCGTGACGCCCAGACATGGAACAGGCAGTTGCGGCTGCCGCTCATGGCCAAGATGTGTAGGGGATATACCCCACCAAGGTCTGTGAAAGTGACATGAATAGAGTGTATCTCGCTGGTGTCTGTGTATACAGACTTTCAACTTAGACCTCTCTGTGAACCTTCCTGCAGAACTTCTGAGGGCTTGAGGTCTTGGCAGACAGGGCTCACACACACACACACACACACACACACACATACAAACAAACAACTCTGTGTATTGAGGTATCACATTGGTATTCCAAAAAGCAGTACATTATAGATTTTGAATCTTAACTGGGCATTAGACACTGAGTTTTTTTCCTTTGGTGTTGTCCTGTTAAGCTTCTTGAGAGCACTGGGGTGTAAAGTCTTTTCCTCAGTCAGGTTTGTTGCGTTGAGAAACAGGTTGTGAGAAGTGGAATTATGTGAAGACATATAACTTTGTTCATAGTGTAAAATATCAAGTGAGTGGTCTCTCTTTTTAATCCTTGTGTGGATTAAGTCACAAGACAAAGTCACTCTCGCCTGGTCTTGGCCAAGATATTGAGTAATGCTGCCCTCTAGTGGCCAGAAACATGTACAGCACTGCATGAGCCTGAAATAAAATGATGAGCCAAGCCGACAGGAATGCATAACCAGGTCAAAAATTATTAGCATCTATTAAGCCTGATTCATTTTCAAGAGACCCTGTCATCTTGAATGCCTACCAGCCAGAAGGTAGTTCAAAACCAAATCCTTTATGTTAAGTCCAAGGTTATTCAATAACTGGCAGATGGAATAACCTTGGATTTGACTATTTATATTTTCCAAGTCTTCCATAAGAAAATACAGAAATTGGATATAAAGCTATGCCACTGGTAACTTTTACAACTTAAAACATGCTTGAAATTAGATTTTGATTTCAAAAAGCAATTTTTTAGGTGGTATACGCCTCTTTTTGTCATAATCACACCCACAAATCTTTCATTGGGTTAGGGTTAATGTCAAAAGCTCACAACCTTCCTATTATTATAGGAAATATATACTTTGTTTATCCCTTTTCTTGCCCAGTGACAAGAATGGTTACCAAACAATCCCATCTTGTTTCAAGAAAACATCTACAGGAGTACCAGCGGAATGTGGGAGTGGCGTCAAAGACAGGTATGTTTACATTACTGGTACATTGCTATTTGCAGTAAATGTGATTATGTTGCAGGTGCAAAATCCCACCTAAAAGTGTGACTTTTAGGTGGGAAAACTTCATCAGTGTTTTGATTGGCTCCTTATCTGATTAAAACAGAATGTGACAGTTTTATATGCTGCAGTATAATCATCTCCGACCTGATAACTTTAACTTTGTTGATGCAAAATTAAGCAAACTCTTCAGTGAAAACACCTGTGCAAAAATGTGAGAGTACCCGTACTCGATACACACTTTAACTTCGGAAAAGTTTGTTATTCAAAAGCAAAAAATATGCACACGTCCACTGATTAAGGCATATAATAAGCTGTTATTATTTTGTTTAGTTTACGGCACATTAACTTCGAATTGATAATTACTCCCTTTGCACATCATTGTCTCACATAATGGAGGTGAAGCCTTTAAATACACTAGCAAAGCCAAAGAGATTGGATCGAATGTTCAGAGAAACACACAGCATTCAATTTATCTCAAGCTGAAATGTTTTGGCTGCCCGAGAAACCTTTTCAATGGGTATTTTAAGGTGAATTAAATTATTAAACCAATGTTATTTCAAATTTTATTGTTACATAAAATCTGTTTGATTGATTCAAAACGATATCAGGAAGACAACAGTCGTCATTAAGTTTGAATTTCAACAGGTCTGTAACAAGAGGAGTAAATCTAAATTTTAAAAAAGTAAGAAATGACTCACAATTGTTCAAAAGTGCATTTATTAAAGACATTATTTTGGCACTTCAGTTATCATAACTGGTCACATAAATGGCATAAAACAAAAATGAGCATCTGAGAAAAAAAGAGAGAATTATGTAAAATTTACTGCCCAGCAGAAATTCTAAATGTTATCATGTTTAATAGAGCAGTTACATTCTGCAGAGGAAGTTTTCATATGAATAAATATCATTTTCACTGTCGTAAGGGGAGTTTGAATTTTGTAAGTTAAAAAATCTGGTTGAAAACATAAGAACAAAAGAGCTCAACGTACATCCCTATTACGTTATGGGTAATACTGATCATTACTGATGCTCAACTTATTTTAAGAACAATTTTACAGAATAACATGGATAGAAACATATACAAATGACATATAATATACATACATACATACATACATACATACATACATACATACATACATA